AAAAAAAAAAAAAAAAAATCACCGTTGTTTTATTAAAAAAAAAAAACGAAAAAAAAGTAATGTTTTTTTTGCCGATTTGAACTTGGACGACGAGGATGTTGCCATTAAGTGTTTTTTTTACCGCTTTGAACTTGGAGGACGATGTTGTTACCATTAAGTGTTTTTTTTGCCGTTTTGAACTTAAAGTGTGACCCAAGAGCAGTTATCCCTTTTTTTTTTTCTTAAACAAATGAGGGGACGAGAAGGGACCGCTAGCACCTCCTCAATCCCGCCAATCAGGCCCGCAACTGTGATCATCAACGAAATCGAAGGGTATAGTCCCATCGGACCCTCAACCCCTTGGTTTCCTTCATGATGCCTCGCTGCTCTCTCGCCACTACCCGCTAGTCTCGATCCTTGAATTTGTCGCATGAAAGTTTGACACTGTAACCAATGGTCTTAGGCCCAAAACTGAGACAGACCATTGCAAAATTCAATATAAAATGGTGTTGCACGACACGCGGGGCTACCAAATGCCCCAAGGCCACTCCTTGGACTACTGTTGTACCCACGGTTGTCGAACCCTGACACCCATAGTATGAGGGGTTGGTTCTGCTTACTCCCGCTATTCACACCACTCGTCATGCCCAAAACCACAACTTCAATATTTTTTGTCGTGGAAGCACAAACTTTATCTACGTTAAGCTCTGCTCACGCGTGGCATCGTCAAGGTTGCAGGAAAAATTCCTTCCAATAGGCACCCATAGTAAAATGTTTTAATCAACGGTGCGCTTCTCCTTTAAATAAGAACAAAATAGCTGCCTTTGAAGTCCGCGACACCATAGTCAGACCTGACGTTAGGCATAGCAATGCTACCTCAACTCACGCACACATGCCACAATCAAATATATTGACTAAAGAAAAGATCATTGAGTCTTAATTTAACCGAAAACAAAAAGATTTGATCGGTAATTTTTCCGACCTAGTAATATCCAAATAATAAATAAATCACGCACGCCTCAAAACTGCGTGCCCACACACCCCTTTTGAAAACACAGTTGGTCTCAAAAAGAAACTTGGTCGTGACTCACTCAACGCACCCAATTTTTCCACCCAACTTTCAACTTAACCTTCAGGGCAGATACCCTTGTAAGGGTATTCGCGTCGACAGTGGAGCTCCTTTGCTTTATTGTCGCTTGCTGACCTTGATCCCCAAAGTTGCAACTTGAAACTCAAGCATCGTAACCAATAGGGCTAAGCCCAAGTTTGAGCCTATTTGATGCGAAATTCGATATGAATTGTTAAACATTATGGTTGGTCCTACCAAACATACCAGGTTTGTATCTTGACCAGTCAGACGAACCCACATCCATTGGGTGACACCTCACGCATCTAGGACCCCAACTATTTTATATTTTTGGTTATTAGCATATCACGTTTGTTACCGAAAAACTTGACTTTTTGCGTGCTAGGGTCGGGAAGTCGCACCTTTAATGTGTCACCAAGGCACAACTTTTCGTTTCGTTGTCGAAGTAAACGCTTAGTCCCTCTACGACACGGCCCGCTAGTAGGTTGTATCCGATCGTAAGGCAAGGGCATAAACTGTAAGGCAAAGAAAATATATAATTAAGAACAACAAAAGATAGTGAAGAGGACCCCACAGACTAGCGCCTCTACAAGTCTTTGTCAGGCGTGGTTCGCGCTGGTAGCGGATTCGCTTGACAATTTTACCTTCTACGGACCGTGTTACATGCTCTTCGACACCTCTAAAGAAACTCATTTCCTGCCCGCGTCTTCGCTCGAAGCTTTTATTCGCCACCCTAGGATCGTCGACTACTAATGGTCACCTACCATGCCACGCTGTAATGCGCGCCCCCACACACTTTCTAACTCGGTCGTACTCAACTCGGACTCTTGCCACGGGACAGGTTGCCGAGGTGAGCGCCCCAATGGGTTTGTCTCATCAATGCGCTTTTATTATCAAGGCCGCATTAAGTGCGACCTTCAAAACCAATGGAAAACACCCTTGCTTGCTATTACACCATAGCCTTAAGGCTGCAAACATATGTTTGCTTGGTTGACAAACCAGGTGAAGCCTAGCCTCCTTTAGGGGTGGAGTATGAGTGTTTGCTTGGTTGACAAACCAGGTGAAGGCTCATATGTTTGCACTCATAGCGTTGTATGTATCAATCATACGTGGGACTCAATAAATCCAGTCAACGGTCTAGAATCCCATATGATTGGATATTGACATGAGGAGTCAAGTTGCAAAACCAAAATTGTGTTTCAATCGGTTTTTATCAATATATGTTGTGTGTCTTAGAGAAAGTTTAACAAAAAAATTGACATTTTTTATGTAGTCTACTTGGGCGTAAAGTGTTATAACTACCTAGTCTTACTCTCCTAGTGCAAGTTTGACCCACACATGCCTATCATTAGTGTCATAACACCAATTGATTTTTTATTATTATAATATTTTAAAATTTTATTTTTTTAATTAGCGGGTTAGTGCCCAAGGCAATACAACAATAAAGTTTAACTTGAATCAAATCTCAATAGGAGGTGTTTGGTATTGCTACCGCC